GGCAACTGAAGATGAGGAGGAAGAGGTGGTGGAGGAGGAGGAGGTGGAAGAGGTGGTGGAGGAGGAGGAGGTGGGGGAGGAGGGGGAGGAGGAGGAGGGGGAGGAGGAGGCAACGGAAGACGAGGAGGAGGGGGAGGAGGCGGGGGCAACTGAAGATGAGGAGGAAGAGGTGGTGGAGGAGGAGGAGGATGAGGTGGTAGAGGAGGAGGAGGAGGAGGTGGTGGAGGAGGAGGTGGAGGAGGCAATTGAAGACGAGGAGGAGGAGGTGGCGGCGGTCCCAGGCCTCCCGCAGCCGGAGTGCGCCGTCTGCGGCAAGGTCCCGCACAGCCTGTTTGTGGGCTGGGCGGCGCGCACGCAGCTCTGGCGGGCACCCCGCCACTCGCGGCCCACGCCCGTCGGTCTGGACGAACTGCCGGAGGCGGCCGTCTTGTCGTGGGAGACGCGTCTGCAGGCGCTGCTACGGAGCGCCGGCGTGGGCCACGCGACCTTCGAACTGCACGCTCACTCGGAGCCCGGCAGGCCCATGGGCCTCCTGTACAAGGTCTCCGTTCCCGGGATGATGCGGGAAGGCAGCGGCTTCTTCCCCGCGGTGCTGAGCTCCAGCGTGGAGGGAGCGCGCGAAGTTGCCAGCGAGCTCCTCCACGAAATCCTCGGCGACGCGAACCCGAGGGCTGGCCCGGCCCCCGTCGCGACGGCGCCTCCCGGCCGCCCCGTCCGGAACCTCTCGGCGTATCCCGGCGACTTCCCCGTGCCCCGGCAGCCGGTCGCCGCGCGCCTGCCGACAAGCGGCACGCACCCGTAGTGCCGCGTGGCCGTCGTGGCGGCGTTCGTCAGACCGCGGACGGTGTCCTACCGCTTGAAGCTCACATCCGTTCTGCCGTGTTCACCGTCAAACTGCAAGTTGCCCGGCCGCTCACTCGACATGGTCACGTTGCCGCATGCCAGAGCTCGCAATCGGGTACCCGTACACGTTCCCTACCCGATACCCGGCTACCCGTACCCGGCCGGGTACGGGTAGGGTACAGGTATCGGGTACCCGATTGCGACCTCTGGGATGAAGCCACGTTGCAGGCGCGGGTGGGTTGATTCTAGGAACTTGAATTGTGAGAAGAGACAAGACGTTGGCAAATGAGTGACACACGGTGACTCACCAGTGACTCACGGCTTACCCGTACCCGGCCGGGTACGGGTAGCCGGGTATTGGGTAGGGTACGGGTATCGGGTAACCGGGTATCGGGTAGGGTACGGGTAGCCGGGTATCGGGTAGGGTACGGGTATCGGGTAGGGTACAGGTAGCCGGGTATCGGGTAGGGTACGGGTATCGGGTAGGGTACGGGTATCGGGTAGGGTACGGGTAGCCGGGTATCGGGTAGGGTACGGGTATCGGGTAGGGTACGGGTACCGGGTACCCGGTTGCGACCTCTGCCGCTCGCTCTCCACTCAGCCGTCCGCCCCTTTCCTGTTTCCCTCGTTGGGCGGGACCAGCCCTGACTTCACGTTGTGCCTCATTTGACTCGTCACCCCGTGGCCCCGCACACGTCCTCGTCACACCAGGTGTCACCCTGTCATTACACTCTAATGACGACCGACAACTGAATCCGTAAAGACAAAATGATTTCAGGTGTTTGACGCGTCAACGCCATTTTGTTTTGAAAATGTCGGGGAGAAAAAAGTATTTTGTTCACGTCGCATTCTGATGTCAAAACATTTGATTCTTTATCAAATTGAAAAACTCTTCAGCGTAGCGACTTTGTTACACACGGAGAGGTCCGTGCACCGCCTCGTTTGCACAGCCTCTATCCCTGTGCCACGTGTAGTTCGTGCACACACAGCTGTTAAGAGTTTGATGTTTTGTTGATTCACAATTTACGTGTGTTTTCCTGTAATGGTTTTTTGTTAATGTTTTAGTGGAAATAAAGTCGTGAAAAGTCTCTTCCTCTCTCTCTCCCCACTCTCTCGGCCGAGTGTCGCATGCTTGGGACCTTTCTTTCCCTCCTCTGCGGATTTAATTTGATGTGCTGATTTACACCCAGCATATTTCAGACTTCCCTGTTTTGTCACGGCATGTTCCTGATCGTTACCAACGTTCCAATGGCCAGGAACTTCAGAGTAACCTATTACCTTTTCATGCAGCATCATCATATAATTTTCCTGGATCATCGCCTTTGTAGCTTTGATCAATTGCCAATGGTTTACCGGTTCGTGTTTGTATTTACTTGTGCCGCCCTCTTTCCCCGTGGGACCACGTGGCGTGAAGTTGTGTCGCACATGAACAGAGTCGGTGCACATCACGAGTTTCCGTACTCGACTGTCACAGAGACACACAGAGACATAGACACACACAGAGAGACACACACAGACACACATACAGAGAGACACACACAGAGACATAGACACACACAGAGAGACACACACACACAGACACACAGAGAGACACACACAGACACACAGACACACACGCAGAGACACACAGAGACACACATGCAGAGACACAGACACACACACAGAGACACAGACACACACACAGAGGCATAGACACACACACAGAGACAGACACACACGCAGAGACACACAGACACACACATATGCAGAGACACAGACACACACACAGAGACACACACAGAGACACACAGTGACACACAGTGACACACAGACACACACACAGAGACATAGACACACACAGAGAGACACACACACAGAGACATGGACACACAGAGACACACGCAGAGACACACAGACACAGATACATAGACACACACACAGAGACACACACACAGAGAGACACACACAGACACACACGCAGAGACACACAGAGACACATGCAGAGACACACACACAGAGACATAGACACACACACAGACACACACAGAGACACACACAGACACACACAGAGACACAGACACACACAGAGACACAGACACACACACAGACACACACATGCAGAGACACAGACACACACACAGAGACACACACAGAGACATGGACACACACGCAGACATGCAGAGACACACATGCAGAGACACAGACACACACACAGAGACACACACAGAGACATGGACACACACGCAGAGACACACAGAGACATGCACGCAGAGACACAAAGACACGCAGAGACATAGACACACAGACACACCGTTACAGACACGCACAGAGACCGGCAGTTGCTGCTGCTGCTGTTGCTGCTGCTGCTGTTGCCGCTGCTGTTGCTGCTGCAGTTGCTGCTGTTGCTACTGCTGCCGCTGTTGCTGCAGCTGCTGCAGCTGCTGCTGTTGCTGCTGCTACTACTGCTGCTGCTGCTACTACTGCTGTTGCTGCTGCTGTTGCTGCTGCTACTGCTGTTACTGCTGCTGCTGCTACTGCTGCTGTTGCTGCAGCTGCTGCATAGAGTTTGTGTCTCTCTGTCTCTCTGTTGTCGAGTGGATTTTCTTTCCGGGCCCTCTGGTTTTCCCCTCCACATTTGAGAGCCGTGAGTTGCTAGAGTCTTTGCCAACTGCTATAAAGGTTCACGTGATGATGATGATGAACCTCATTGGTAGAACTATAATCGGTAATGGCCAGGTCAGGGCCTTCTAAAAGAGAGCTTACACACACACACAGCATCTCAATGAGGCCCTTGCCCGCTAAAAATAAAACGCGGTTTAGTTTCTAGTTCAAGTCTCGTGCACAACAACAACAGCATCATCACGATGCGCCCACCTGCTCAGAGCAGTTCCAGCCCAGGTAAGTGAACTTGCCACTTTTATTACCATCACCAGCACCACCACCAGCACCACAATGTCTCCCCCAGCAAACAACAAAACAGCTGGGCAGGCAGCGTCACTCACTCACGGGGCAGGCAGCCAGGCAGCGAGAGACGAGGCCACGTCTCCAACGCTGGGACACGTGGCGACGACAAACAGAACCGCGATGGGCAAAGCGACCACCCCCCCCCCCCCCGAGTCGAACGGACGATGCTTTTCTGTCGATTCTCTCGGATAGTTCTGGAAAATATGTCATGGACCTGCCCTCAACAACGCACGCTCACACTCACCACCACCCTCACCACCCTCACCACCCTCACCACCACCCACCACCCTCACCACCACCCTCACCACCACCACCCACCACCCTCACCACCCTCACCACCACCCACCACCCTCACCACCACCCTCACCACCACCACCCACCACCACCCACCCACCACCACCCACCCACCACCACCCTCACCACCACCCACCCTCACCACCCTCACCACCACCACCCTCACCACCACCCACCCACCACCACCCACCACCCTCTCTGTGTGGTGAGTCTGTGGGTCTCTGTGATGAGTCTGTGGGTCTCTGTGATGAGTCTGTGGGTCTCTGTGTGGTGAGTCTGTGGGTCTCTGTGTGGTGAGTCTGTGGGTCTCTGTGTGGTGAGTCTGTGGGTCTCTGTATGGTGAGTCTGTGGGACTCTGCTGTGTGAGTCTGTGGGTCTCTGTGTGGTGAGTCTGTGGGTCTCTGTGTGGTGAGTCTGTGGGTCTCTGTGTGGTGAGTCTGTGGGTCTCTGAGTGGTGAGTCTGTGGGTCTCTGAGTGGTGAGTCTGTGGGTCTCTGAGTGGTGAGTCTATGGGTCTCTGTGTGGTGAGTCTATGGGTCTGTGTGTAGTGAGTCTGTGGGTCTCTGTGTGGTGAGTCTGTGGGTCTCTGTGTGGTGACTCTGTGGGTCTCTGTGTGGTGAGTCTGTGGGTCTCTGAGTGGTGAGTCTGTGGGTCTCTGTGTGGTGAGTCTGTGGGTCTCTGTGTGGTGAGTCTGTGGGTCTCTGTGTGGTGAGTCTGTGGGTCTCTGTGTGGTGAGTCTGTGGGTCTCTGAGTGGTGAGTCTGTGGGTCTCTGAGTGGTGAGTCTGTGGGTCTCTGAGTGGTGAGTCTGTGGGTCTCTGAGTGGTGAGTCTATGGGTCTCTGTGTGGTGAGTCTATGGGTCTGTGTGTAGTGAGTCTGTGGGTCTCTGTGTGGTGAGTCTGTGGGTCTCTGTGTGGTGACTCTGTGGGTCTCTGTGTGGTGAGTCTGTGGGTCTCTGAGTGGTGAGTCTGTGGGTCTCTGAGTGGTGAGTCTGTGGGTCTCTGTGTGGTGAGTCTGTGGGTCTCTGTGTGGTGAGTCTGTGGGTCTCTGAGTGGTGAGTCTGTGGGTCTCTGAGTGGTGAGTCTATGGGTCTCTGTGTGGTGAGTCTGTGGGTCTCTGTGTGGTGAGTCTGTGGGTCTCTGTGTGGTGAGTCTACGGGTCTCTGAGTGGTGAGTCTGTGGGTCTCTGTGTGAGTGAGTCTATAGGTCTGTGTGAGTCTATGGGTCTCTGTGTGAGTGAGTCTATGGGTCTCTGTGTGAGTGAGTCTATGGGTCTCTGTGTGAGTGAGTCTATGGGTCTCTGTGTGAGTGAGTCTATGGGTCTCTGTGTGATGAGTCTGTGGGTCTCTGTGTGGTGGGTCTATGGGTCTCTGTGTGGTGAGTCTATGGGTCTCTGTGTGTGAGTCTAAGGGTCTCTGTGTGGTGAGTCTACGGGTCTCTGAGTGGTGAGTCTGTGGGTCGCTGTGTGGTGAGTCTGTGGGTCTCTGTGTGGTGAGTCTGTGGATCTCTGTGTGGGTCTCTGTGTGATAAGTCTGTGGTTCTCTGTGTGGTGAGTCTGTGGGTCTCTGTGTGGTGAGTCTATGGGTGTCTGTGTGGTGAGTCTGTGGGTCCTCTGTGTGGCTCTCTGTGTGATGAGTCTGTGGGTCTATTTGTGGTGAGTCTATGGGTGTCTGTGTGGTGAGTCTGTGGGTCTCTGTGCGAGTCTTTGGGTCTCTGTGTGGTGAGTCTGTGGGTCTCTGTGTGGCGAGTCTTTGGGTCTCTGTGTGAGTACCGGACATCACACAACTAAAAGCTTCAATATAAAGTCGGGGTGAGGGGGGTGGGTGAGAAATAACTTTTCACCATCAATATAACAACAGCAACAAGGACGGTACTACTACAGTGGCCGCCTTGCCCACAAACACACAAACTTCCGACTCCGACTCTTGACACCTCATCCTCCACCTCTTCTCCTCTTACACCTCCGTCTCCGCGTGCCGCTCCGTCATCCGCGCCGTGGCGGCCTCCTCGTCGCTGGAGGGAGCGGAGAAAGTAGGCGAGGGTGATGCGCACGTACCGGGCAGCGCGTGAGAGTGCACGGACAGTGGAACTTATTCGCGCCCGTTTCGTAGACTAAACATTTCTAATTCGGAAGACGTCGCGCGACCACCGAATAAACATCGGCGGGCGTCGTCAAGGGTGGGGATCGAACCCACGACCTCCTGCGTGCCAGGCGAGGTGGTCAACATCTCTCAGTGTCTGGGATTGAACCCACGACCTCCTGCGTGCCAGGCGAGGTGGTCAACATCTCTCAGTGTCTGGGATCGAACCCACGACCTCCTGCGTGCCAGGCGAGGTGGTCAACATCTCTCAGTGTCTGGCATCGAACCCACGACCTCCTGCGTGCCAGGCGAGGTGGTCAACATCTCTCAGTGTCTGGCATTGAACCCACGACCTCCTGCGTGCCAGGCGAGGTGGTCAACATCTCTCAGTGTCTGGGATTGAACCCACGACCTCCTGCGTACCAGGCGAGGTGGTCAACATCTCTCAGTGTCTGGGATTGAACCCACGACCTCCTGCGTGCCAGGCGAGGTGGTCAACATCTCTCAGTGTCTGGGATTGAACCCACGACCTCCTGCGTACCAGGCGAGGTAGTCAACATCTCTCAGTGTCTGGGATTGAACCCACGACCTCCTGCGTGCCAGGCGAGGTGGTCAACATCTCTCAGTTTCTGGGATTGAACCCACGACCTCCTGCGTACCAGGCGAGGTGGTCAAGAACTCTCAGTGTCTGGGATGGTGGTGGTGGTGGTGGTGGCGGTGGTGATGATGGTGGTGGCGGTGGTGGCGGTGATGGTGGCGGTGATGGTGGTGGTGGTGACGGTGGTGGTGATGATGATGGTGGTGGTGGTGGCGGTGGTGATGATGATGGTGGTGGTGGTGGCGGTGGTGATGATGATGGTGGTGGTGGCGGTGGCGGTGACGGTGGTGGCGGTGGTGGTGGCGGTGGTGGTGACGGTGGTGACGGTGGTGGTGATGGTGGTGGTGGTGGCGGTGGTGATGATGATGGTGGTGGCGGTGGTGGTGTTGGTGGTGTTAGTGTTGGTGGCTACCTGCACTCGGCAGAGACGGCATCTCTCTCGGGCACCAGGCTCGGGGAGCTCCCTCCTTGCTCGTCCGCTGGGGAACGAGAACATCGCGCAGACTGCGGAGAGCAAACTCCAAATACACAGCAGCAGCAGCAGCAGGCGTCGTCAGGGTCGTGATCGAACCCACGACCTCCTGTGTACCAGGCGAGGCAGTCAACATCTCCGTAGCCACCACAACACTCACCGTCATCATCTCATAGCCACCACAACGCTCACCGGCAACATCTCATAGCCACCACAACACTCACCGTCATCATCTCATAGCCACCACAACGCTCACCGCCACGTTTGCCGGCGCTCCGTGTGCCCCACGCGGTGCACACCACGAAGGGGAGGATCGCCAGCACCGCTATGGCCGCCATGAAGCTGATGGAGGCGCTGCCGCCACCGGCGGGGAGCGTCGCCTCGTCTCCCGTAGACACTGCGGTGGTGGTGGTGGTGGTGGCGGCAGCGGTGGTGGTGGTGGCGGTGGTGGCTACGGGATTGGGGACACACGCGGGGAGATATGGTGAGACGCGGGGAAACAGAGAGACACAGTGAGACAGATACAAACAGAGAGACAGAGAGAGACAGGGAGACACAGACAGAGAGACACAGTGAGACAGACACAGACAGAGAAACAGAGAGAGAAACAGAGAGACACAGACAGAGAGACACAGTGAGACAGATACAGACAGAGAGACAGGGAGACACAGACAGAGAGACACAGTGAGACAGATACAGAGAGAGACAGGGAGACACAGACAGAGAGACACAGTGAGACAGATACAGACAGAGAGACAGGGAGAGACAGAGATACACAGACAGAGAGACAGAGAGAGACAGACACAGACAGAGAAACAGAGAGAGAAACAAAGAGACACAGACAGAGAGACATAGTGAGACAGAGAGAGACAGGGAGACACAGACAGAGAGACACAGTGAGACAGATACAGACAGAGAGACAGAGAGAGACAGGGAGACACAGACAGAGAGACACAGTGAGACAGATACAGACAGAGAGACAGGGAGACACAGACAGAGAGACACAGTGAGACAGATACAGACAGAGAGACAGAGAGAGACAGGGAGAGACAGACAGAGAGACACAGTGAGACAGATACAGACAGAGAGACAGAGAGACAGGGAGACACAGACAGACACAGTGAGACAGATACAGACAGAGAGACAGGGAGACACAGACAGAGAGACACAGTGAGACAGATACAGACAGAGAGACAGGGAGAGACAGAGATACACAGACAGAGAGAGACAGACACAGACAGAGAAACAGAGAGAGAAACAAAGAGACACAGACAGAGAGACATAGTGAGACAGAGAGAGACAGGGAGACACAGACAGAGAGACACAGTGAGACAGATACAGACAGAGAGACAGAGAGAGACAGGGAGACACAGACAGAGAGACACAGTGAGACAGATACAGACAGAGAGACAGGGAGACACAGACAGAGAGACACAGTGAGACAGATACAGACAGAGAGACGGGGAGAGACAGGGAGACACAGACAGAGAGACACAGTGAGACAGATACAGACAGAGAGACAGAGAGACAGGGAGACACAGACAGACACAGTGAGACAGATACAGACAGAGAGACAGGGAGACACAGACAGAGAGACACAGTGAGACAGATACAGACAGAGAGACAGGGAGACACAGACAGAGAGACACAGTGAGACAGATACAGACAGAGAGACAGAGAGAGAGACAGGGAGACACAGACAGAGAGACACAGTGAGACAGATACAGAGAGACAGGGAGACACAGACAGAGAGACACAGTGAGACAGATACAGACAGAGAGACAGAGAGAGAAACAGAGAGACACAGACAGAGTGGGATGCTGAGCAGTGTTGTTGTATGAGGTTAGTGATGAGGTTTTGGTCTTCATCACTTTTCTGTCTGTCTTGTGTGCGTCTCTGTGTGTCTGTGTTTGTCTGTGTGTGGCAGTGTCTGTCCGTGTGTGTCTGTGTGTGTCTGTGGCTGTCTGTTTGTCTGTGTGTGTGGCCTGGCACAAGCGTCGTGGTGATGTCACCACCACTTAGTGGCAAATGGTGGTTGTTGTTGTCTGTGTGTGGCTGTGTGTGTCTGTCTGTGTCTGTCTGTGTGTGGCTGTGTATGTACCGTTCTGGCCTTCATAGGTGCTCGCTAACAGCACTTGCCACTACAGTCTGTTAAGGCTATACGGGGGATCTTTATCTGTCTGTGTCTGTCTGTGTGTGTCTGTCTATGTGTGTCTATTCAACATCGCTTTGCCAGGCACACTGAGGACAGGCTTGCGGAGCCCCAATGTGGTTTAAGAAAAGGGTGGTCCTGCACAGATGCCATATTTTCTGTCCGTCTGCTACAGCAGAGGTGTAGGGAATTCCAACAAGACCTACATCTCTGCTTTATTGACCTGGTTAAGGCCTATGATACCATCAGTAGGACTGGGCTCTGGGTCACTGTTCGTGCTTTTGCAGTCCCTGACCCTCTGCTCACGATTATTAAGGACCTTCGTGATGGTGAGCGGGCCCGGGTAAAACTACGTGGCTGGGAGTCAGAGCCATTCCCTTTTTACCTTGGGGTGCAACAGGGATGTCCTCTAGCTCCCACATTATTGAACATCTATTTTGACCACGGAGTTCGTGAAGCCTTCGATGGCTGTACCAGAGGAATTTCCATCTGGTACAGATACAATGGGAGGCTGATCGATGCCCAGGTGCGGTCAAGGGATGGCTCCCTATTGCTCAACCACGTTACGTATGCCGATGATCTGATAATTGCTGCTCACTCAGAAAGAGGAGTTGGAGGCGCTGCTGCTGAACCTGGAGCTTGCCACTAAGAGGTGGGGCCTTACCATCAGACCCACCAAAACTAAGCACCTGCCTGGGTATTTTGTATCATCGGACACTCCACCCCCACAACTCCCAATCGGTGATGGGGCAGTTGTGGAGAGAGTGGAGAATTTCCCATACCTGGACAGTGTGATCATGGCCGGCTCCGGTTTAACAGCAGAGGTCTCACTCCGAATCAGTCAAGCGGCAATATCTTTTCATCGGCTGCGTAACGCTGTGTGGAAGCTACCTGGTCTGTCGCTCCGCACGAAGCTTCAGATCTTCTCGGCCACAATCATTCCCTCCCTTCTCTACGCTTGCGAAAAGTGGACCCCCCTAATGGAACATATTCGCCGCTTAAAAACATTAAGGCTGGCCTGCCTACGATCCATCCTGGGTTTAACCAGGCTGGATTGTGTGAGGAGCTCATAAATCCCAGAAAGATCTGGACAAAGTCCCATCGGTGAGCTCCTCCGCTAGGCAAGGCTGCGTTGGCTGGGTCATGTAGACCGCATGCCCAGCCACCGCATGCCTAAACAGCTTTTGTTTGGCCGGATAGAGGGGGCTAAATGGGTGCGGCACTCATCCACCTACTCACTCACCCACCTACCCACTCACTCACTCACCCACTCATTAACTCACTCACCCACCCACTCACTCATCCACCCACTCACTCACCCACTCACTCACCCACTCACTCACCACTCACACTCACCCACTCACCCACTCACACTCACCCACTCACCCACTCACACTCACCCAATCACTAACCCACCCACTCACCCACTCACCCACCCACTCACACACTCACCCACCCACTCACACACTCACCCACCACTCACCCACCCACCCACCCACTCACCCACTCACCCACCCACTCACCCACTCACCCACCCACCCACTCACCCACTCACACACTCACCCACTCACTCACCCACCCACACACCCACTCACTCCCCACTCACTCACTCACCCACCCACTCACTCACTCACTCACCCACTCACTCACTCACACACCCACTCACTCACACTCACCCACCCACCCACCCACTCATCCACCCACCCACTCATCCACCCACCCACCCACTCATCCACCCACCCACCCACTCACCCCCCCACTCACCCACTCCCTGACACACTCACCCACCCACTCACTCTCTCACCCACCCACTCACTCTCCACCCACCACCCACCCTACTCACCCACTCACCCACCCACCCACTCACCCACCCACCCACTCACCCACCCACCCACTCACCCACTTACCCACCCACCCACTCACCCACCCACCCACTCACCCACTTACCCACCCACCCACTCACCCACCCACCCACTCACCCACTCACCCACCCACCTACTCACCCACCCACTCAACCACTCACCTGCACACTCACCCACCCACTCACCCACTCACCCACCCACTCACTCACTGACACACTCACCCACCCACTCACCCACTTACCCACCCACCCACTCACCCACCCACTCACCCACTCACTCACACACTCACCCACCCACCCACCCACCCACCCACCCACCCACTCACCCACCCACCCACCCACCCACCCACTCACCCACCCACCCACCCACCCACCCACCCACTCACCCACTCACCCACTCACTGACACACTCACCCACCCACTCACCTACCCACCCACTCACCCACCCACTCACCCACTCACCCACTCACTGACACACTCACCCACCCACTCACCCACTCACCCACCCACCCACTCACCCACCCACCCACCCACCCACCCACTCACCCACCCACTCACCCACTTACCTACCCACCCACTCACCCACTCACCCACTCACTGACACACTCACCCACCCACTCACCCACTCACCCACCCACACACTCACTCAACCACTCACCCACTTACCCACTCACTCAACCACTCACTCAACCACTCACACACCCACTCACTCACTCACCCACTCACTTAACCCATTCACACACCCACTCACTCACTCACCCACTCACCCACCCACTCACCCACCCACTCACCCACTCATCCACTCACCCACTCACTGACACACTCACCCACCCACTCACCCACTTACCTACCCACCTACTCACCCACCCACTCACCACTCACTGACCCACTCACCCAGCCACTCACTCAACCACTCACCCACTTACCCACTCACTCAACCACTCACTCAACCACTCACCCACTCACTCACCCACTCACCTCAACCACTCACACACCCACTCACTCACCCACTCACTCCCTCACTCACCCACTCACTTAACCCATTCACACACCCACTCACTCACCCACCCACTCACCCACTCACTCACCCACTCACCCACTCATCCACTCACCCACTCACTGACACACTCACCCACCCACTCACCCACTTACCTACCCACCCACTCACCCACCCACTCACTGACACACTCACCCACCCACTCACCCACTCACCCACCCACTCACTCACCCACCCACTCACCCACCCACTCACCCACCCACTCACCCCACCCACTCACCCACCCACTCACCCACCCACCCACTTACCTACCCACCCACTCACCCACTCACCCACTCACTGACACACTCACCCACCCACTCACCCACTCACCCACCCACACACTCACTCAACCACTTACCCACTCACTCAACCACTCACTCAACCACTCACACACCCACTCACACACCCACTCACTCACTCACCCACTCACTCACCCACTCACTTAACCCATTCACACACCCACTCACTCACTCACTCACCCACTCACCCACCCACCCACTCACACACCCACTCACTCACTCACCCACCCACCCACCCACCCACCCACTCATCCACCCACCCACCCACTCATCCACCCACCCACCCACTCATCCACCCACCCACCCACCCACCCACCCACTCACCCACCCACCCACCCACCCACACACCCACTCACCCACCCACTCACCCACCCACTCACTCTCTCACCCACCCACTCTCTCACCCACCCACTCTCTCACCCACCCACCTACTCACCCATCCACCCACCCACTCACCCACCCACCCACTCACCCACCCACCCACTCACCCACCCACCCACTCACCCACCCACTCACCCACCCACCCACTCACCCACTCACCCACCCACCCACTCACCCACTTACCCACTCACCCACTTACCCACCCACTTACCCACCCACCCACCCACCCACCCACTCACCCACCCACTCATCCACCCACTCACCCACTCACCCACTCACCCACTCACCCACCTACCCACCCACCCACTCACCCACCCACTCATCCACCCACTCACCCACTCACCCACCCACCTACTCACCCACCCACTCACCCACTCACTGACACACTCACCCACCCACTCACCCACTCACCCACCCACTCACTTACTGACACACTCACCCACCCACTCACCCACTTACCCACCCACCCACTCACCCACCCACTCACCCACTCACTGACACACTCACCCACCCACTCACCCACCCACTCACCCACCCACTCACCCACCCACTCACCCACCCACTCACCCACCCACTCACCCACCCACCCACCCACTCACCCACTCACCCACCCACTCAACCACTCACTCAACCACTCACTCAACCACTCACACACCCACTCACTCACTCACCCACTCACTTAACCCATTCACACACCCACTCACTCACTCACCCACTCACCCACCCACTCACCCACCCACTCACCCACCCACTCACCCACTCATCCACTCACTGACACACTCACCCACCCACTCACCTACCCACCCGCTCACCCACCCCACTCACCCACTCACTGACACACTCACCCACCCACTCACCCACCCACCCACTCACTCAACCACTCACCCACTTACCCACTCACTCAACCACTCACTCAACCACTCACCCACTCACTCAACCACTCACACACCCACTCACTCACTCACTCACTCACCCACTCACTTAACCCATTCACACACCCACTCACCCACTCATCCACTCACCCACTCATCCACTCACCCACTCACTGACACACTCACCCACCCACTCACCCACTTACCTACCCACCCACTCACCCACCCACTCACCCACCCACTCACCCACCCACTCACCCACTCACTGACACACTCACCCACCCATTCACCCACTCACCCACCCACCCACTCACTCAACCACTCACCCACTCACTCAACCACTCACTCAACCACTCACCCACTCACTCACCCACTCACTCAACCACTCACACACCTACTCACTCACTCACTCACCCACTCACTTAACCCATTCACACACCCACTCACTCACTCACCCACTCACCCACCCACTCACCCACCCACTCACCCACTCATCCACTCACCCACTCACCCACTCACTGACACACTCACCCACCCACTCACCTACCCACCCGCTCACCCACCCACTCACCCACTCACCCACTCACTGAGACACTCACCCACCCACTCACCCACCCACCCACTCACTCAACCACTCACCCACTTACCCACTCACTCAACCACTCACTCAACCACTCACCCACTCACTCACCCACTCACTCAACCACTCACACACCCACTCACTCACCCACTCACTCACCCACTCACTTAACCCATTCACACACCCACTCACTCACTCACCCACTCACTTAACCCATTCACACACCCACTCACTCACCCACCCACTCACTCACCCACTCAGCCACCCACCTACTCACTCACTCACCCACTCACTCACCCACCCACTCACCCACTCACCCACCCACTCACCCACCCACTCACCCACTCACCCACTCATCCACTCACCCACTCACTGACACACTCACCCACCCACTCACCCACTTACCTACCCACCCACTCACCCACCCACTCACCCACCCACCCACCCACTCACCCACTCACTGACACACTCACCCACCCATTCACCCACTCACCCAGCCACTCACTCAACCACTCACCCACTCACTCAACCACTCACTCAACCACTCACCCACTCACTCACCCACTCACTCAACCACTCACACACCCACTCACTCACTCACCCACTCACTTAACCCATTCACACACCCACTCACTCACTCACCCACTCACCCACCCACCCACCCACCCACTCACTGACACACTCACCCACCCACTCACCTACCCACCCGCTCACCCACCCACTCACCCACTCACCCACCCACTCACCCACCCACCCACTCACTCAACCACTCACCCACTTACCCACTCACTCAACCACTCACTCAACCACTCACCCACTCACTCACCCACTCACTCACCCACTCACTCAACCACTCACACACCTACTCACTCACTCACTCACCCACTCACTTAACCCATTCACACACCCACTCACTCACTCACTCACCCACTCACCCACCCACTCACCCACCCACTCACCCACTCATCCACTCATCCACTCACTGACACACTCACCCACCCACTCACCTACCCTCCCGCTCACCCACCCACTCACCCACTCACTGAGACACTCACCCACCCACTCACCCACCCACTCACCCACTCACCCACTCACTGACACACTCACCCACCCATTCACCCACTCACCCACCCACTCACTCAACCACTCACCCACTCACTCAACCACTCACTCAACCACTCACACACCTACTCACTCACTCACTCACCCACTCACTTAACCCATTCACACACCCACTCACTCACTCACCCACTCACCCACCCACTCACCCACCCACTCACCCACCCACCCACCCACTCATCCACACACTCACCCACCCACTCACCTACCCACCCGCTCACCCACCCACTCACCCACTCACTGAGACACTCACCCACCCACTCACCCACCCACCCACTCACTCAACCACTCACCCACTTACCCACTCACTCAACCACTCACCCACTCACTCACCCACTCACTCAACCACTCACACACCCACTCACTCACCCACTCACTCACTCACTCACCCACCCCATTCACACACCCACTCACTCACTCACCCACTCACTCACTCACCTACTCACCCACTCACTCACTCACCCACCCACTCACTCACTCACTCACCCACCCACTCAGCCACTCACACACTCACCCACTCACTTAACCCATTCACACACTCACTCACTCACCCACTCACTCACTCACCCACCCACTCACACACTCACTCACTCATCCACTAACTCACTCACTCACCTACCCAATCACCCACCACTCACTCAACCACTCACTCACGCACTCACCGACCCACTCACTCACCCACCAACTCACTCAACCACTCACACATCCACTCACTCACCCACCCACTCAACCACTCACCCACTCACTCAATCAACCACTCACCCACCCAATCAACCACTCACCCACTCACTCCCCCACTCACTCACACACACACCCACTCACCCACGGTGCTGTGTGGTGGAGGGACGGAGACACAGGACAGTGGAGACCACTCCCCTGTCTTCCACCGGGGGTAGTCAGCCACGATTCTCACGCGGACGCAGTATTCAACCTCGCTTCCAGACGGGGGCACGGCGTGGTGGTAGCGACATCCCACAAAGTGATCCTGGCAGCATTAGTAGTAGTAACATCATTATAGTAGTAGCAGCATTAGTAGTAGTAGCAGCATCACCCACCCACCCACCCACTCACCCACCCACCCACCCACTCACCCACCCACCCACCCACTCACCCAACCACCCACCCACTCACCCACCCACCCACCCACTCACCCACCCACCCACCCACCCACTCACCACCCACCCACCACTCACCCACCCACCCACTCACCCACCCACCCACCCACTCACCCACCCACCCACCCACCAACCCCACTCACCCACTCACTCACCCACCCACCCACTCACCCACCCACTCACCCACCCACCCACCCACCCTCATCGTGCTGGTAGTGCCACCCCCCCTCGTGGAGATCTCTGCTTCCTGGTGGTGCACCACGTCGCGAAGCGCCATTCTCCTCCTCCATGCACTCCTCATGGAGATCCCCACGGAGAGCTCCCACCACTCCGCCTCCTCCTCCTCATCATCATCATCGCCGTCGTCATCATCGTCATCATCGTCATCATCGTCGTCATCGTCGTGGTCATCGTCGTCATCGCTGTGGTGGTTGTTGACACGGTCCACATCATCATCATCGTCACCGTCATCATCGTCGTCGTCACCGTCATCATCGTCACCGTCATCATCAGCGACGTCACCGTCATCATCATCATCGTCATCGCTGTGGTGGTTGTTGACACGGTCCACACCATCAGCGACGTCACCGTCATCATCATCGTCGTCGTCGTCATCGTCGTCATCGTCGTAGTCATCTTTGTGGTCGTCATCGTCTTCGTAGCCCTCATCCTCATGACGGCACTCCTCCTCCTCATCATCGTCATCGTCACCGTCCTCCTCCTCCTCCGTCGATTTCTTGTGCAACACCAAGGTGACAGTGGGAGCACTCAGCACGGCTGAGACACGGGGGGGGGGGGGGTGGGTGGTGGGCAGGGGTGAGTGAGACGTCATCTCACTCACCTGGTGAGGAGATGATGTCATCTCACTCACCTGGTGAGGAGATGATGTCATCTCACTCACCTGGTGAGGAGATGATGTCATCTCACTCACCTGGTGAGGAGATGATGTCATCTCACTCACCTGGTGAGGAGATGATGTCATCTCACTCACCTGGTGAGGAGATGATGTCATCTCACTCACCTGGTGAGGAGATGATGTCATCTCACTCACCTGGTGAGGAGATGACGTCATCTCACTCACCCCCCTAGCCTGAACAGACTGTTGGTGCAAGAGGAGCACACAGAGACACTCACACACAGAGACACACACACACACAGAGACACACACAGAGACACTCACGCACAGAGAGAGACACACACACACAGAGACACACACAGAGACACACACACACACAGACACACACAGAGACACTCACACACACAGAGACACTCACACACACAGAGACACTCACACACACAGAGACACTCACACACACAGAGACACTCACACACAGACACACACAGAGACACACAGAGACACAGACACACACACAGACACACACAGAGACACTCACACACACTCACACACACACAGAGACACTCACACACACACAGAGACACTCACACACAGAGACACTCACACACAGAGACACACACAGAGACACTCACACACAGAGACACTCACACACACAGAGACACTCACAGAGACACACACAGAGACACTCACAGAGACACTCAGAGACACTCACAGAGACACTCACAGAGACACTCACAGAGACACTCACACACAGAGACACTCACAGAGACACTCACAGAGACACTCACAGAGACACTCACAGAGACACTCACAGAGACACTCACAGACACTCACAGAGACACACACACCCAGAAACACTCACACACAGACACACACACACACAGAGACACACAGAGACACACACACAGACACACACACAGACACACACAGAGACACTCACACACACTCACACACACACACAGAGACACTCACACACAGAGACACACACACACACAGAGACACACACAGAGACACTCACACACAGAGACACAGACAATGCCACTCACTTGTCTTCAAGGGTAAGACCTCAACCACGACCCAGGGTGACGATGATGGTGGTGTTGGTGGTGGTGATGAGACGGTGGATCTGACGCGAAGTTGATAGCGGTCGCCGGGATGTCGCAGCGCTGAGGAGACATCGCACCGTGTCTCTGCGGTGGCAGCGCAGACGGTCCGCCAGCGGGCTCGTCCATAGCTGCACAGACAGAGACACGGGGAGGAGGAGGTGAGGAGTGGGTGTGTGAGTGGGTGTGTGAGTGGGTGGGTGAGTGGGTGAGTGAGTGGGTGAGTGAGTGGGTGGGCAAGCGGGTGAGTGGGTGAATGAGTGAGTGGGTGAGTGAGTGAGTGGGTGAGTGAGTGAGTGAGAGAGAGAGTGGGTGAGTGAGTGGGTGAGTGAGTGAGTGGGTAAGTGAGCAAGCGGGTGAGTGGGCAAGTGAGAGAGTGGGTGGGTAAGTGGGTGAGTGGGTGGGTGGGTGAGTGAGTGAGTGGGCAAGTGAGAGAGTGGGTGAGTGAGTGGGTGAGTAAGTGGGTGGGTGAGTCAGTGGGTGGGTGGGTGGGTGAGTGAGTGGTTGAGTGTGTGAGTGGGTGAGTGAGTGGGTGGGTGAGTGGGTGGGTGAGTGGATGGGTGGGTGAGTGGATGGGTGAGTGAGTGGATGGGGTGAGTGAGTGGGTGAGTGAGAGAGTGGGTGGGTGAGAGAGTAGGTGGGTGAGTGGGTGGGTGGGTGAGTGGATGGGTGAGTGAGTGGGTGGGTGAGTAAGTGGGTGGGTGAGTGGGTGGGTGAGTGAGTGGGTGAGTGAGAGAGTGGGTGGGTGAGTAAGTGGGTGGGTGAGTGGGTGGGTGAGTGAGTGGGTGAGTGAGAGAGTGGGTGGGTGAGTAAGTGGGTGGGTGAGTGGGTGGGTGAGTGAGTGGGTGAGTGAGAGAGTGGTTGAGCAAGTGGATGGGTGAGTGAGCGAGTGAGTGAGTGGATGGGAGAGTAAGTGGGTGAGCGAGTGAGCAAGCATCTCACAGTTTGCTGTCCACCCTGTAGGCAACGTCCAGGATCTGTGAACTGCTGCTGGTGGCGACGTCCACTTGAGCGTCGTGGTCCCAGCGGAGTTGCGTCAGCAGGTCGCGAGACTCCACGCGCACATTCAGAGGGGGAGTCGCAGCTGGGGAGATGGGCAGTGTGCGCTAACCACTGCACCACCGCTCCCCACACACACACAGTGCGCTAACCACTGCACCACCGCTCCCCACACACACACACAGTGCGCTAACCACTGCACCACCGCTCCCCACACACACACACAGTGCGCTAACCACTGCACCACCGCTCCCCACACACACACAGTGCGCTAACCACTGCACCACCGCTCCCCACACACACACAGTGCGCTAACCACTGCACCACCGCTCCCCACACACACACAGTGCGCTAACCACTGCACCACCGCTCCCCACACACACACACAGTGCGCTAACCACTGCACCACCACTCCCACCCCCACACACAAGTGCGCTAACCACTGTACCACCACTCCCCACACACACACACAGTGCGCTTACCACTGCACCACCGCTCCCCACACACACACACAGTGCGCTAACCACTGCACCACCGCTCCCCACGTCCACCACAACCTGGTACCCGATGTATCAACCACCTCTGGCTGTGCTCACCGTGTGTGCACGTGACGAGGTGGTGGTGGAGGAGGAAGAGTAGGCCAAGTCTCGAGAAGAGTTCCCGCACCGCCATGACACCCACCTGGGACCCACGTGTTTCCGTTTCTCAAGTCACGTGGTGCAGAGAAATCCGATTCCCGGTTCGATTAACTCCACTTGCGTCGATTCTTAATGGGATAACATTAGGAATCGATTCTTGTAGTGGATTTACAGAGTCGATTTCTATTGGTATAACATGGGAATCGATTTATAGTTGATTAAGCTATTGGAATCGATTTCCGTTGAGATAACATGGGAATAGGCTATCGTGGGTGTGTGTTCATGTGTGTGTGTCTAAAGTCGATGTCTGTGTGTACTTGTGTGTGTGTGAGTCCATGTGTGTGTGTCTAAAGTCGATGTCTGTGTGTGTACGTTTATATGTGTGTGTGTAAGTCGATGTCTGTGTGTACTTGTGTGTGTGTGAGTCTATGTGTGTGTATCTAAAGTCGATGTCTGTGTGTGTGTACTTGTGTGTAAGTCGATGTCTGTGTGTACTTGTGTGTGTGAGAGTCCATGTGTGTGTATCTAAAGTCGATGTCTGTGTGTGTGTAAGTTTATATGTGTGTGTAAGTCGATGTCTGTGTGTACGTGTGTGTGTGAGTCCCTGTGTGTGTATGTAAAGTCGATGTCTGTGTGTGTAAGTTTGTATATGTGTGTAAGTCGATGTCTGTGTGTACTTGTGTGTGTGTGTAACTCCATGTGTGTGTATCTAAAGTCGATGTCTGTGTGTGTGTAAGTTTATATGTGTGTGTAAGTTTAACACGTAGGCTTTCGCGACCAATGTTATTCATAATCAACGATTTTTGGGTTTAGATCGCGTTTATTTATAAATGTGTCGTAACCCTCCACCACCCGACACGGCCAATCAGTAAAAATGTGTCACGTTGACAAAGACAAATAGTTCACTGCTTTAGCCCACCGGTGTGTTGAAGCAACAACATTTACAATTTGAGTACGACGTTTCGCTGGTAATTGCAACCAGCATCATCGGGCAATTCGCCAGAATGGTGAGGCTCTCCTGTGTCTCCCGTTCTTATATAGAGCAGCAGCAGGGTGACGTCATCATTAACTCATTAACTCATCAGGTGCAAAGATTCAAGGGGGGGAGTGATTGTAATTATATACTAGATTAGTAATCAGGCTATTGTTACGATGCGAGTTGTAGATTAGTAATCATTTGGAATGTGTTTTATTGTGATTATGCTACATTAGTAATCAGTTAGTGGTTGTTTCCCTTATAAGTAATTGTCCCTTATAAGTGCGGCCTGGAAGCGTATTATTAAATAAGATACATTACAATTACTTATAAGGGAAACAACCACTAACTGATTACTAATGTAGCATAATCACAATAAAACACATTCCAAATGATTACTAATCTACAACTCGCATCGTAACAATAGCCTGATTACTAATCTAGTATATAATTACAATCACTCCCCCCCTTGAATCTTTGCACCTGATGAGTTAATGAGTTAATGATGACGTCACCCTGCTGCTGCTCTATATAAGAACGGGAGACACAGGAGAGCCTCACCATTCTGGCGAATTGCCCGATGATGCTGGTTGCAATTACCAGCGAAACGTCGTACTCAAATTGTAAATGTTGTTGCTTCAACACACCGGTGGGCTAAAGCAGTGAACTATTTGTCTTTGTCAACGTGACACATTTTTACTGATTGGCCGTGTCGGGTGGTGGAGGGTTACGACACATTTATAAATAAACGCGATCTAAACCCAAAAATCGTTGATTATGAAGTATGTGTGTGTAAGTCGATGTCTGTGTGTACGTGTGTGTGTGTGAGTCCATGTGTGTGTATGTAAAGTCGATGTCTGTGTGTGTAAGTTTGTATATGTGTGTAAGTCGATGTCTGTGTGTACGTGTGTGTGAGTGAGTCCATGTGTGTGTATCTAAAGGCGATGTCTGTAAGTTTATATGTGTGTGTAAGTCGATGTCTGTGTGTACTTGTGTGTGCACATCTTGCACGTGGGTGGAATCTGCAATATCACGCGATTTGGGACGATTTTTGACCCCCCCCCCCTTCGTCACACGACGTCATAAAAAGTCAGACCCCCCCCCTCATATATGACGTCACAAAGCTCTGCCCCCCCCCCAAAAAAAAAACATGCTTAAAATCGCTTTAAACAATTGTTGTCATTGTAGTGCGTGTTTAATGTGGCGCTGCACTCTGATGTTGTAGGAGAAAACATTTATTACAAAGTCTATTTAACTAAGTAGAACGCGTTGTCTATATTTATTTAAAAAGTTGCGCATTTTGATGTGACGTCACATTTCTCAACCCCCTCCCCTCGTCACACATCGTCACAAATGTCTGACCCCCCCCCCCAGGTGCGTGACGTCATCTATGGACGGCCCCTAATTGAACTGACCAAAGGCCACGTGCGTCGGCAGTGGCGGCAGCTTCACGACTCGTGCCGGCTATAGGGCCGTCCATAAATGACGTCACGCACCTGGGGGGGGGGGGGGGTCAGACATTTGTGACGATGTGTGACGACGGTGGGGGGGGTTTGAGAAACTTTCAATAAATATAGACGACACGTTCTCCTTAATTAAATAGACTTTTAAATAAATGTTTTCTCCTACAACATCAGAGTGACACGCCACATTAAACACGCACTACAATGACCATAGTCTAAAGCGATTTGAAGCGTGGGGTTTGTTTGTTTGGGGGGGGTGGGGCAGAGCTTTGTGACGTCATATTTGAGGGGGGGGGGTCTGACTTTTTGTGACGTCGTGTGACGAAGGGGGGGGGGTCTAAAATCGTCCAAAATCGCGTGACGTCATTTATGGACGGCCCCAAACACGGAGCAACAGCAGCAGCAGCAGCTGTGCAAGGCGACACGCGCAGCGCGCGCACTGCATGGGCAGGTGACGTCACCAACTTGCACTGTCGGGTCTGACGCATTTTAACCCCCCCAGCCCCCACCTGCCCCCTGCCCCCTCCCCTGCCCCCTCCACCCTCCATGCCCCCCCCCCACAACCCCCCACCTGCCCCCTGCCCCCTGCCCCCTCCCCTGCCCCCACCACCCTCCATGCCCCCCCCCACAAACCCCCCCACCCCCCACCGCTCCCCTGCCCCCCCTACCCCCCTCCCCTGCCCCCTCCACCCTCCATGCCCCCCCACCCCCCACCTGCCCCCTGCCCCCTCCCCTGCCCCCTCCACCCTCCATGCCCCCCCACACCCGTCCAAGCCAAGCGAGCTCCTTGATTGGTCTTCGGTGACGTCAACAAACCGCCAACTCCAACCGCCACCCGCCTGTTGCGACGGGTTCAGCAGCCCCGCCCCCATCCCTCGACGTGTGGGCCGCCTCATTAACATAATTTATTCAGTTGCGGGGTCGCTCGTTGTGGGAGGAGCGTGGCTTGTAACCCGGAAGTGACGTCATGTCACCTGCTGCTGCCGCGTGACGTCACGAGGTTACAGGAAGCTGCTGCTGCTCTCCGTGCTTACTGAAATCCGAGGTGAGATTTTCTCATCGTTGTGGTGGTTGTTGTTGTTGTTGTGTACCAAGGTAGAGCCTCGCTGTTTCTCTCTCTCAGGGATGTCAACTGAGTAGCAGCGAGTGTTGGAATCGATGTCCAGATTGGAACTTTGCCCCGCGGGGCCTTGCCTCCTGCCCTCGCCTGATGGCGTTCAAGTTTAATTCTCTCGCTCAAGATAAATTTGTCTTCTCCCGGCTCGCTACTCTGTAACTTTGGTTCACTGTAGATATTAACGCAGTTTTTTTTCGTGTTTTTTATCAGCCCAAGCCCGCTTGAGCTGCTGTACCGCTCTCGTTTACAGAAGCGCCCTGCCCACAACAACAACAACAACCACCACAACAACAACAACCACCACAACAACAACAACGAGGCGAGGCTTGTCAACACGTGGCGCTGTTCACTCTGGACGCGGCACCGCGAGTCGGTGTCTGTGGGTCACAGGCGCTCAGCGCCGCGTGCCGCTGTTCACTCTGAACGAGTGGAGGGGGGCACCGCGGGGGGGGGGGGCAGGAGGTAAATCCACGCCGCCGCCACGGGGAGAAGGAGAGACACGGGGAGCGCCTCGGCTGTGTCGGTTGATCCTCCATTCGTTACTTGGTGGAGTGACGCAGCATTAATGTCACCGCTAGAAACCTCCTGGTTCCACCAGCCCACAGGGGATTATTGTGTCCGTCCGTCCGTCCGTCGTGCATCCAGAAATGGGAGGGGTGGGGCTGGGTGGGGAGGGGCTGGTCACCCCGTGGTGCCCTTATAAAACTCAACGTTTCACCTACTCACGCCGGCTTGTGCACGCCCTCACAGTCGGGCATATTTGCGGAATACACCACGCCGCCGTTGACCCTGCAGGCCATTGAGCGAGCAACCCGACGTTCCTACCAGCTCCCTCCGCAGGAATGAGGTAATGGTGTGCTGGGTGAATAATCAAGAGACACACACTCACCCAAATGCAAACAAAGTTAAGAGCCCACAAAGACGCACACTTTGGCACGTAAGTTTGCCTACCACATAGCTTTACATTGGTGTGTGTATGCTCATAAGTTTACTCTCAGGCACGAATATACTGATTTTGTACAATCTACAATGGCCTATTGTGTGAGAACAATATCCCGTCTGACAATGAAACAAAGGCAGACTTTTCACAGACTAAGATGTCGACATTAATGATTTTACTCCAGAGTACTTTTTAAAACATGATTCAAAGTTTAGGTGTGTCTTTCCGCATTGCAATAATGGCACAAGTATTAAATGTGGGTGTTTGAGGTTATCTCGGCCAAATACTCCCAACAACTATGTCATACCCCACCCTTGAGGTACACTGCAAGGTCCAGAGACACGATGTCTCATATCCTGTGTTAAAGCCTTAAGGCAGACAACTGTACAGTTTGTCTTTATGTCCTACCAAATTATTTTATGAACGTAATACAAGGGCAGCAACAACACATCTAAAAACTGCTGTTTGGATTTCCTTGACTTAAATACAACTCTCCAACGATGTAAATGGCCATGAGCGGTTAGGAGAGCTTCTTTACCAATGCTGTTTATTGAATGAGTGTTGCAGTAAATCATCCAGTACTTTGTTGCAGTGCCACACCTGGTTCAGAGTTGCACCTGCCACTGTGACTTTGAAGTTCACGTATGAGTACCATTATGCACCTGTGTCTGATTAGTTTACATTTATATTGGCACCGAAGCAAAAACGGATGACAAGGGAATTCTAAAATGTATATTCATTGATGGATTTACCGCCAAATAACACTTCATGTAGTACTGTAATTTAATTACCCACCTTTTTAATCTGCTTCCTGAAAAAAGCTAGCGTTTTAGAATATCTTACATTTGTGCGTAAAGTACGAATAGCTTTTAGAGGACTTTTTTGTACATTTTCCACCATGCACATGAAAACCAGATGATTGGCCTTGCTTCTAATTCCTTCTACGGGAATGCTTTGAAATTGCATCATGGGTGTAGTAATGACTAAACCATACCAACCTCCATCTTTCCCCAATCTCCAGATGTATCAAATTCTCAGCATAGCAGGTCACGGCTCTCGGGTGAAAGCAGTTCCCCCAGTTGGTACAGGTGCAGCCTGAGGAA